CTCTCTCTCTCTCTCTCTCTCTCTCTCTCTCTCTCTCTCTCTCTTTATTTCTTGTTTAACAAAATTGGAAAGATAGAAATCTATGCAGTCTAAAAGCCTTGCACAGAATTCTCTATTTTATGTCTAAATCTATGAATTTTTATTTTTGTGAAACCTTAAGAACTGCAACCTGTGTTATATTATTGAAAACTTTACAAAACCTAATACTTATGTGTTTATTTAAAGTTAGCCTGTTCCATGTTTGGCCATTCAAAGTTGGACCTAACACCATGCCCTGCAACATAGGGTTGTCAAACTAGTTTAATAATAAATATAGCAACAACAATATACTTCATATATAACTCATTGATCATCTAGGTTGCCATTGAACATCTTCTTGACTCGCACCACCGTCAATGTTATAACCACAAGGATCCAATGTTTAACATCATCCACCCGTTGAAAATAAGCATATCTCCACCTTTTCACAAAAATCAAAGTTCCCACAACTCCCCAGAATCCAATTGCAAAGCCTGACAACACAACAATGTAAAACCACATTTTTTTAAGTGTATCTTTATTGTTGTCCTTGAAGTTGTCAGTTGGAGGAGGCAGCAAACCATTTGAGCATCTCTTCAAGAGTGGAGCTCCACAAAGTTGAGGATTGCCAGTGTAAATGGTTGGATCTTCAAGTGTTTGGAGCTGATAGCCTGTTGGAATTGACCCTAACAAGTTGTTGTAGGACAAGTTGAGGTGGCTTAACTTGGTTAAACCTGACATACTCTTTGGGATTGTTCCTGAGAGTTCATTTTTAGAGAAATCGAGAGATTCCAAATTCTCCATTTGTCCAATTTTCTCAGGGATCTTTCCTGAGAGATGATTCCAAGACAGATTCAAATTGTGCAAATCTTTAAGGAAAATTAGCTCTTCTGGTATGTATCCTATTAGATTGTTACTCGAAAGATCTATACTACTCTCAAGTCCCAGGGTTTTTCTTGTATACTTAAGGTATCTCCCTTTCACAACCTCCATCAAATGTGCCCAAGACCAATAACTATCACTCATGCTGTTGATCAATTGTGTTGCATTCACCATAACTGGAAACTTTCCAAAACAAGGAGGAATCCTTCCTGTTAGATTGTTTTCTGCAAGATCCAGAATTTGCAATTGAGAGAGAGAGCACAATTCCAAAGGAATATAACTGGAAACCAAATTTTTTCGTAGTCGAAGAATTTTTAAAGAGTGGTTGCCGATCTTGCCCCTTACAATGCTTGTTAAATTTCCAGAAAACTTATTTTCACCCAAATCCAAAACCACTAAAGAAGTGAAGTTTTTCAAGGCCATATGTAGTTCCCCATGAAGACTATTGTTGTTCAAGTGTAGGACAAATAAAGAAGAAAGCCGCCTTATCGTGCTTGGAAATAAACCCGAGAAATTGTTAGAAGATAGATCAATAAAATTGATTGATTGATCATTTCTCCAACAATTAGGAATACTTCCGGAAAACATATTGTTTGAGAGATCAAGAAATCTCAAAGATTTTGAATTGCATAAAGACTTTGGAATTGAACCGTTCATGAGGTTATTTGCAAGATATAATCCCTTCAACATTGGCATCATATGATTGATGTTTTCTGGAAGAGGACCTGAAATGCTAGCATTAGAGAGATCAAGCATGATTGTTGTCATTTGCAATAGAAGCCATTTAGGAAATCCTGTTCCAAATTGATTACTAGAAAGATATATTATCTCTAACTTAGAAAGTTGCCCAATGCTATCTGGAACACTCCCAATCAATTGATTAATAGAAAGATCTATGACCCTTAAATTAGAAAGTTGCCCAATGCTATCTGGAATACTCTCATTCAATTGATTGGTAGAAAGATATATGCTCCTTAACTTGGAAAGTTGTCCAATGCTATCTGGAATACTCCCACTCAATTGATTGACAGAAAGATCTATGCTCCTTAACTTAGAAAGTTGTCCGATGCTATCTGGAATACTCCCATTCAATTGATTGTAAAAAAGATCTATGCTCCTTAACTTAGAAAGCTGCCCAATGCTATCTGGAATACTCCCAATCAATTGATTAAAAGAAAGATCTATGCTCCTTAACTTAGAAAGCTGCCCAATGCTATCTGGAATACTCCCAATCAATTGATTAAAAGAAAGATCTATGCCCCTTAACTTAGAAAGTTGCCTGATGCTATTTGGAATACTCCCACTTAATTGATTACGAGAAAGATCTATCCACTCTAACTTAGAAAGTTGCTCGATGTTATTTGGAATACTCCCATTCAATTGACTATTAGAAAGATCGATCAACTCTAACTTAGAAAGTTGTCCAATGCTATCTAGAATGCTCCCATTTAATTGATTGTAATCAAGATAAAGAGATATCAAGGAAGTCATGTTATGGAAAAATATAGGTATTGGACCTTGGAAAAAGTTCCATGAAAGATCTAAGTACTGAATATTGCCAAGCAATGTACAATTAAAGGGATGGTTGCAAGATTGTAGATGTGAATTTTTGATATTACAGTCTGACAGACTCAACCATGATAATGAAGAAACCATGCCAAGTGCTTGGAACAAGTTTGATGACGAATGGCTTAGATTTGATCCACTCATGTCAAGAGAGGTCAATGAAGTCATGTTTTGAAGAAAAATAGGTATTGGACCATGAAAAGAGTTCCATGAAATAACGAAGTGCTGAATATTTTCAAGAAATGTAAAATTAAGAGGATGGTTGCAAGATGGTAAGTGTGAATTTTTTAGATTACAGCTTGACAAACTCAACCATGATAATGACGAAAGCATGCCAAATGCCTGGAATAAGTTTGATGAGGAATGGCTTAGATTTGACCCACTCATATCAAGAAAGGTCAATGAAGTCATGTTTTGGAGAAAAATGGGTATTGGACCTTGAAAAGAGTTCCATGAAATATCGAAGTGCTGAATATTTTCAAGAAATGTAAAATTAAGGGGATGATTGCGAGATGGTAGGTGAGCATTGTTTAAACTACAATATGATAGACTCAACCATGATAATGATGAAAGCATGCCAAGTACCTGGAACAAGTTTGATGAGACATGACTTAGATTTGTTCCACTCATATCAAGTTGTTGGAGAGAGGAGAGACGAGATATCCACCAAATGTCGTCATCAACCTTCAATTCTCCATCATAATAGTTAGCAAGATCAAGAACATGAAGCCTCGTAAGATTTCCAAGTTCACCAGGAATTCTTCCTTTAAAATAAGCATTAGAGAGGTTTAGGTACCTCAACTGCTTCATTAAACCAAAGGACTGTGGAATAAGGCTTTCGTTGAAGTAGTTTCCGCTCAAGTCCACGTGTTCCAAGTATTTCAGCTTAAGCAAACTCGAAACAACCTCCTCAACATTGTCAATCAAGTACAATGAAGGTTCATCAAATATTGATCCCCTGAGTTGAAGGGTGACAACATGATGGCTATTCTTGTCACAGCCTACTCCTCTCCATTCACAACAGTCATTGCCTTTCCAAGAAGACAACATATCAGATAAATCATCGAAACAAAGTTTGAACTTCAAGAGGGCTTCTCTCTCCCCCTCTATGCAGCTGAAGCTCATGTTCCTACCGGAACAGAACTCTGCAACTCCAAAGAACAATACAGCCACTAGAACTAGCATAGCATGGAAAGTGTCCGTCATGATTATGGTTTCAATATTGTATGGAAGATGGATTTGGTTTTTAATTTTGATTGCATATTAATATATAGTCCCATGGATAGGCAAGTTAAACACGTTTTCCAGTAGTTACCCAAAAGATAAAGATTCCAAGTACTTAAAGCAGCCAATTTTTGTATTTCGATCATTATCAGTCGAGCACGTTCGCCAAGACTTGGATGTCTTTTTAATCCCTAAAGTCAATTTAATTAGTGTTTTCATTGTCCCCACCATAATAGTAATACAGCTTTTACAAGTCTTGTGCTACTGTTGTGCAACATGAAGACGAGAAAGGTTTGAAAAATGGCTTTCAATCCTTGGATTTATTGTAGGGAAGATTAGTTGATTTTATTTATTTATTTTTCTTTTCAGATAGCTGATGATTTTTTCTCTTTTTTTGAGATATATGATTTTTAATTTTGATTGCACATTAATGTTATAACGGGAAAATCTTAAGCCCCAAACTTATCCTATTTTTGGACACAAGTCCCTAAACTATTTTTTAGACTAATGAGCCCTTTAACTACAGTATTTAAACGTCAAGGGAAATCCTTCATTAACGGTTCCGCTAGTTTCTGTAAAAAATCTATGCACAGCAGCCAAAGATAACGGTTAAATTATAGTTTAGTCCATTTACTTTCAAATGTCAATGAAAATTAGTTCTTTCACTTTTAACTAGAGTTACTTTAAAAAAAAAATTCAAAACAAGAAATAAAAAGAAAAAAATAATCCTATGACAGAAAAAAAAAAATACTAATTCTCAACATGGTTTCCATCATTCCATGTCTAAAGTGTCAATAAATCTGTTCAACATCATATTTCCAACACATCCCAAAATGATAAGCGCAGTAGCCCTTCTATTTTTTTTAAGGAAAATTTTAATTTTAAAAAATAAAATAAAAACATATTCTGTCAGAAGGATAAATTTTTTTTACAATATTATTTCAGTGAGTAAGAAATTTATTTTTATTTTATTTTAAAAAAATAAACACTAAATAGAACCTGCGTTGTACATGCTTTTAATTTTTATTTTAATTTTGGGATGGGTTGGGGAGAAATTTGTAGTATGATGTTCAATTGATTTCTAGAAAGACGAAAACCATAGTGGGTTTTTGGAATGAGCGCTAATAGGATTGATACTATTTTTATTTTTTGTTTTAAAATTTTTAATAAGATTAGTTTAAGTGTAGAGACTAATTCTCGTTGAAATCTGAAAAGTAAATTGACTAAACTATGATTTATCGATGGGTTTTTTTATTTTATATCCTAAGAATACATCATAAATGTGTAAGAAATGTATTTTTTTATAATTATTTTTATTAAAATTGAAAATATTGAATTTGATTTAATTAATTAATTAATTAAAATTATTCACATGTCAATAGTATTAAAAATATATGTTAATTTTTATAATTTTTAATATAAATTAACTATTAAAAAATATATTTATTTTACCCTTAATATTTTTACTGTATCCAGAAAAACCCAAAATTTCCTTTGATTGCGGTGGTCAGATTTTTAAATGAGAAGCATGGAAACTGTTAATAAATAGTTAATTTGCTTAAATCGGAAAGTTAAGGGGCATGGAAGGATAAAAAATAGTTTAGAAGTTTATGTGCAAAAATGCGTTAGTTCGGCGGCTTATGTCGTAGTTTGTGAATGCAATACCTTCGCTTTTATATTTTTTTAAGTTTTTATTATTTAAAGATATATAAAATATTAATTAAAATAAATTTAAA